ATTTTTATACGAGTTTTCCTATTTCTTTAATTTGGTATCAAAGCCTGAAAGTTAATAGACCACTTAGAAATAATAATTTTAAGTATAAAAATCTGGTATCAGAGTTTAAAAATAATAATTTTAAATATAAAAGCTACTTTTATAACAAATATAAATTTGAGGACTAAAAGGTAAAAAAAATATAGTTAGAGGACTAACTGTTCTCTAACAGAATAGGAAGTTTTCCGTTAGCTTTGACCAAGTAGACGAAATTGAAATGAATCTGAAAGTTAATAGACCACTTAGAAATAAAACATAGTTTCTAGACTAAAATGAAATAAAGGTGATAGTTAATAGACTAAAAATTGAATTAAGCCGTTTTTAGCCCAATTTAATTTGTTGCAAGGGCAGGCCTCTTTTGCCCCAACTCCTCCCACTACTTCTCCACTACTTCCGTGAGACCATGACGAGGCACAATATAAAGGAAAAAAAATTTAAAGGAGAAAAAAATTTTTCATAGTTGGCATCTATTAAGTTTAAAACTTAACATATAAATTAATGTAATAAATTTATGAAAGGAAAAAAAAAATTCATCTATTAAGGAAAAAAAATTTTTTTTTTTCATTGTGGTAACATATTTATTAGGAAAACAAAAAAATAAATTGGGCAATTTCCATGCCAACCAAGCTTCCTTGTATTTAGGGGACAAAATACTTTTGATTGATGATCATGGCACCATTGGGGTCAATTTAAGTTTTGAGAGTTTGAGTGATTTTCAGTGGTTTGTTAGTAGTTTGTTCAGTTTTTTAATGTCCCTCTCATCCTTCACTAGTGTTAAGTGCTCGTGCTTTTTCCGGTAAGTTGTTAAAATCACATTTAGCTTGAGTGGACATAATATTGAGAGAATCAGTCATATTAGTGATTAAATATTTAAAATTGAACAATAAATTTGATTTTTGATATTGGGTTAATAAGGTAAATTAATTTAAGATATTTCAATGTATTTGATTTATATTCATATAATATCTGTCTTAAAAATAATATAAAAATTGTTACATATAACATCAAAAAAAAAAATGTTGTTATATATAATCATTGGATATCTCAAAAATAATATTCATTATACATTTTTTTCAATTTCCCCTCACTACTTTCTCATGTTTA